TGGAATAGAGTACAATAAGCGCAAACACGTGCGAGACGAAAAAAGGCTTCGCACTGAAGTAACACAATAAGACGACTGAAACTCCATGCAAATAAAAGTGTAATAAGCTCAACAAATGTGTAAGGTGAAACTAGAAGTTCAACTGCAAAACTCAGCGGGCAGAAGCCAAGGTTTTGTACTTCTGAAGTGGAACAATGTCATTACCAGATTCATCCAACAAATAATGTTCAGGCTCCCAAGTGGCATCAGAGTAGCCTTGCCACTTGACTAGGTACTGAAGCTGATTCTGCCGGCGGCGGTGACTGAGAATGTTCTCCACCACATAGCGGGCATGACCATCAAGGTCCGTGATAGGCGGAGGCGTAGGCTGTCTCCTATTAGGAATAGCTTTCTTCTCGTAGGCACGGAGTGCCGACACATTAAATACCGGGTGACAGCGGCTGGTATGAGGCAACTTGAGCTTGTAGGCATTCGGGCCGACCACATGGGTTATAGGAAAGGGGCCAAACCACTTGGGGCGTAATTTATGGGATGGTCGGTCCCGAGCTTCAGGAGTCAGGAGGAAATCCCGGTAGACCATTACCAAATCTCCCACCTTCAGCTTTCCCTCGACCCTTGTCCGATCTGCATAGAAGGCCTGACGAGCTTGAGCTGCCACTAGCGCATCTTGTGAGATCTTGACCGCGTCTTGTCTTGCTTGCAACCAATCAGCTGAATCTCTGCCTCCCTGAATAGGGTTGAGGAAGTCGGGTGGCGCTCTGGGATTTAGACCGTAATTTAAGAAGAACGGTGTGTTTCCTGTAGATGATTGAGTAGCGCTGTTGATAGAAAACTCACAGAGAGGTAGGAGCATATCCCAGTTATCTTGTTTATGATTTACAAAAGCCCTCAGCACATCCTCTACTATTCTGTTTACTCGTTCAGTTAGGCCATCTGTCTGAGGGTGATTGGCAGTACTAAATGCTAGTTTCGTTCCTAAGCGATCAAACAATTCCTGAAAAAATGCTGCCGTAAATCTTGGATCACGATCACATACAATACTAGAACTCAAACCATGAAGTCGAAATACATGTTGAATATACAGATCAGCACTTCCTTTAGCGTCAATAGTAGAGGAAGTAGGTGCTAAATGTACACACTTTGTCAAGCGGTCTACAAATACATATATTGCATCATGACCTGTATCGGTCCTAGGCAAACCCATGATAAAATCCATCGAGATATCCGCCCACGGTTGACTGGGCACTGGTAAATTCTGCAAGAGACCAGTTTTTAGCTGGCCGCCTTTAACTCGTTGGCAGACGTCACATGACTTGACAAACGCCTTTACATCCAGTCCCATTCTGGGCCAATAGAAATATCTAGCGAGTCTGAAATAGGTGCGATCTCGACCGGGATGCCCCGCAGTCACACAGTCATGGTATTCTTGAAGCAGGGCGAGTCGGAGTTTGCTACTCTTTGGAATGCATAACCTGTTCTGTGGTGAAGATCTGAGATAAAGATAACCGGGTGTTCCATTTAGAAGGTAATGGTCGTGCAGATTGTCATGGCTTGAATTTTTCAGTCTCCTGATAATGGGAGCAAGATCCTTGTCGCACTTGTAACCGCTGACAATTAACTGCGCTAAGTCTGGATTAATCTCTAGGGTATGCTCAATGGCATTCAACTGAATGTTAGGAGGATAGGATGACCCGCCTATTTCAGAATCACTGAACAGATCTGGACGGCGTGAAAGCGGGTCGGCAATGTTTTTCTTTCCTGGTTTGTGAAAGACCGTGAAGTCATAGTCAGCTAAAAACTCTACCCATTTTGCCTCACGCTTGGTGAGAGTCGGTTTGGTTCGTAAATAGACAACACCCATATTATCAGTCATCAGGTCAAAGTGGCGAAATAGATAGATTCTCCAGCACTTTAATGCAAATACCACAGCCAACGTTTCCCTCTCGGCCGCAGTATAGTTGCGTTCTGCAGCTGACAGTTTCCGACTACAATAGGCTACGGGATGCAAATCCATATCTTCTCCCTGCTGCAGGAGCACACCTGCCACGGCAAAGTCACTTGCGTCAGTTTCTACCGTGAAGCTTTTCTCAACATCGGCCAGTTGCAACACTGGCGCCTCGAGTAATGCTGATTTTAGAGACTCGAATGCCTTCTGTCTAGCAGCGCTCCATTCAAAGCGTGAATGTTTTCCGGTGATTTCTTCTAATGGACGAGAGATGGTCGAGTGTCGATCTATGAACCTTCGGAAATAGTTTGCAAAGCCAAGAAACTTCCTCACATCAGTTACTGACGACGGAGTTGGCCATGTTTCCACAGCACTTATCTTCTTGGGATCAGGGGAAATTGATGTGCCGTTGATTTTATGCCCCAAGAAGAGAACTTCTCTCACGCCGAATTCGCATTTAGACTGTTTGCAATACAGCTCGCTATTTCTAATAGTTTCTAGAACTGTTTGAAGATGATGCAGATGATCTTCCCAGGTCTTGCTAAAAACTAGAATGTCATCCAAGAATACTACAACGAATTTTCGGAGATGGGGTTGCAGAATAGAGTTCATGAGTGACTGAAAGGTTGCCGGGGCATTAGTCAGCCCGAATCCCATGACTCTAAATTGGAAGTGGCCGAACGGCGTATTAATGGCCGTCTTAGAAACATCCGAGTCTTGAATTCTGATTTGATTGTACCCCGACCGCAAGTCCAACTTGGAGAAATATGCACTGCCCTGGATCGTGTCGAATATGTCATCAATATTAGGAAGACAAGCTTGGTTTTTGATCGTAATTCTATTCAATTCTCGCCAATCGCACACCATTCTCAGAGTACCATCCGACTTCTTCACAAAAAACACGGGTGCACCGTATGGCGACTTACTTGGCTCAATGAATCCCTTCTCAAGTAATTCTGACAGCTGTGACTGGAGCTCGTCCATCTCTGGTTTCGGCAAGCGGTAGGCGGGTCGAGACGGTGGTCTGGTTCCATCTTCTATCTGGATTTCATGGTCGATTGGTCTCTTCGGTGGAAGCTCATTCGGCAGCTCGTCTGGAAATAAATCCTGGTACCTCTTGAGCAGGTTCTGGATGTCCTGTTGCTCTGATTCCTGGAGTTGTGCCCCGGAACGATTCTCCTCGTTTGCAGCAGTGACCCATGCAAGAAACCCCTCGGCTCCACTCCTCAGGGCATGACGAGCTTGTCGGCCACTGATAAACATGCTTTCCACAGATGGCCGGTCGGCTGTCGGCGGGTTAGCTGAAGGCAATTTGGCAACAAAGGGCTCAACGTCCAACTGAACTTCGTTCGTACGGAAGTTGATACTGGGGTTGTTCCTTGTAAGCCACGGCTTGCCAAGAATAGCGTCGTAGCGAGTCAGGGGATACACAGTAAAGTGCTGTTCCTCACTGAAGCCCCTGACTGTCACCTTTAGCGTGCGTGTGGAAATCTGCGGGACCTCGCTGGTCGAGCCGTCCGCCAATGTTACGCTCAGCATTTCTGAGCTTGCATCCGTGTCAAGATGATGCTTTAGAACAAAACCGCCTGCAATGAAGTCATGCGTCGAACCGGAATCTATCAGCATCACTGCATGGCGACCGCCGATCTTTCCCTGTATGCGCAGTAGGTCGTGTTCAGGTTCATTGCCGACGCTGACGTTGCTGACATGACACCTTTCTGCAACGGGACAATTTCCTACAGCTATGGGTGTCTCTGGCTCCGTAGGTTCCTGGAGAGCAACGTCTTCAACCTCCAGAGCTCCGAACCGGTTAGCGACTGGTACCGGCGTGGGTGCTTGGGTCGTCGCCAGTAAGCGCACCTCCTTTCTTACTGGCGACCAGCGTTTGGGTAGCGCTGTCCACCCTCAGTACAGTCTTTAGCGAGGTGGCCTGGCTTCCTGCAAGCAAAGCAGTGTCCCATTGCTCGCAGTTGGACACGCTCTTGGTCCGTCAGCTTGCGGAGGCCCTGACCACGGAAGCTGGGCACGGAACGCGACTCTCTACTGGCTGGTGGCCCCGACGCCGGTGGCCCTGGCGACTGCTCCACGGTGTTTGCTGCCATGACAGCTTGCTCCAGAGTACGTGGATGCTCACGCATGACCTGTCGCTGGATGTGCGGCGTAAGACCCCTGACGAACAGCAGCGCTCTGGTGTGGTGGTCGATTTCCGGCACTTGCAGGCTGAGGCGAGTGAAAGCAGCAATGTATGCGTCCAGCGACCCGCGCTGCGCTGCGGAAATTAGTCCCATACGCGATGTTTCCTCGTTGTGCCGTGGTCCGTACACATCGCCAAGTGCCGCTTTCAGAGCAGGCCAGTCGGAAAACACTTGGTTAGCTTCCAATGCCGCTATCAACCAAAGACGAGCGTTTCCAGTCAAAAATCCTGCCGTGTAGTCGACCCTCTGTGCCGCATTTGGGAGTGCCAACGACCGTAGGGCCATGTCCATTGTAAACGTCCATTCTTTGAATGTAGCGGAATCTCCTCCAAACACAGGTGGCTCTTTCGTAAGGCGGGGTGTTGGCTGCCACGGTTCCGAGTTCGGATGTATCGTTCGGTTTCCTTGGCTAACGCGCTGAGCGGTCTTGATATCGTTTATCAGCCGAACGACGAGTACGAGGAGCGTAAGCAGAGCGACCAGAACACCTGCCCTAAGCAGAGTAGTAACCATCCTCTGCTACCAGTGTAACAGGTTTAATCAAACTTGAAAAGTAAGAGGCCTGGTTGAGCGTGCCTCGACCAGTTATATGCAAAATGTGATAGTATACATGTGGCAATGGCGCCAATGAAGGTGCTAATAGACAGGCGTAAGACGCATGAGGTGCGAGGGAGTGTAAAGTTATAGAGAACAGGGGAAAACTGTTACACACACAGATTTTGAAAATATATGGTTTACCCATATCTACATCACATGGTTCTTGAGTTATTGCGGGTTGTGTGTACATGTATTTGCGTGACCACCCCTCACATACATTGAGTTAGACCGGCAAAGGGTTAAAACAGGAAAAAAATCCTTACGTCTTTGACAAACAAAAGGTAATTTGCGCCAACACTCCGTGTCATCCCATTTGCCAGGATAATGGGCATTAAACATTTGTAGACAGTCACCATTTCCGTTAGGTTCATTTGTCGCAAAGTTCTTCCAAGTTACTTCTCCAGAAGAAGATTGCCATTTGTTATTGTTATCTTGAAAGATTCCCAACCAGATTGAAGTCGACGGGTAAAACCTATGCAGGCAATCATTTTCAGCTGGATTCCGGGGCCAGGCGATTTCCACACCCTGTGAGGATTTCTGGCAACGCTGAGTTGCTTGATAATGGACCTTCTGAGATGAAACTACCAAATATTCCAAATCGGGCACATTATCACAACGCTGCCAACCTGCACAAATGCAAACCAAGTTCAGAAAAATGGTACAAAACAATCAGAACAAGTCTCTTTAATAACGTGATGAGTGGTAAACTTGTTTAACCTTTAAATACCCACAAATATTTTGGATGTTCATGTTAGTTTGGATACTTGTTTAGTCTTTGGAATGTGATACTATTTCCGCAGCTAAAACACCAAGGAATACAATAAGCACCGCTCCAAGTGTATAGGAAGAAGGAATGTTGGCCATAAATGGCAATGCAATTCCCCAAGCTACAATATAAGGTGTAAGTACCGTAAAGTATCGCCGGAGCGCCCCGTCTCGCAAAAGCGCCTCACCTTGATTTTACAGGCAAGGGAAGAACATCGTACGGCAGAATGCAATTTAGTTTGTCTGATGTGAGAACCTTCGTGTACTAAGGTCACACTTGCTATGCTTTTATGTGGAGCTAGTAGGTAAAATGAGTACGGATTGACTGCAGCCTAGAAGTTGCTATCGAAGAGCATAATAAAGGCTATGGAAGCACTTAGTAAGAGATTAGGATACTAACAATTGAGATTAAATGGGGGGGGGGGACACGATGTATCTGTAATACTACATGACAATTACTCAACTGTACGGAGAGGGAGAGCAAAGCAATCAGCAGAAACTCGAACTACTCCCTATAGGCGTATGCTACACATGCATGCTTAAACTCAGGTAGGCGGGTAATTGTGAGGACCTCATCAGGGAGAGCGTCCCACAGCAGAGCTTCAGTAACAGAACATCTCTGCTGACCACAGCGGCTACAGTTTGCCTGGCTTAGTTTGCCATTTGACTGCTGATGGCGGGCAGGGGTGCCTACAGTACATTCATTGGAAACTGGTTCCCTAACTTTTTGGTGCCTCCCGCACATAGTTGTAGATATCATGAAAACAACATTACATTCTGCATTGTGTCACCCGTGCAATTACGCCTTGCCACATTTGAGGCCACAAAAGTCCAAGTACAGGGAAATATAAATTGAGCCAGGTCTTGCAAAATTAGGACAGTTATGCCTTGGCAAAATGTATGGATAAGCAGATCCAATTCTCTCTCACACCTCACATTTGCAACAGCAAAACCACAGTGCAGGGTCGGCTGCGGACAGGGTCGGCTGCGGACAGGGTCGGCTGGGAACAGCCACATTGCCTTGTTTCAAGGGGAAAACATAGTTGCCAGAATTTGATGCAAAATGATACAGCAACAGTTAGTGCAGAATGACCACCCAGATAAAAGAAAAATAATAAGCAACTAGAACTTATAAAATCAGCAGTGCAGAAAGATACAGCAAGGAAACCACCGCTTTCACAATCAGAGCAATTATATATATATGCTCTGTGCTGCGCTGATGAGTTCAAAAAGAACGAAACAGCATGCTGTCCACAGATTGAGTATATATATATATATATATATATATATATTTAAATAGAGAGGTAGGCGAACAAAATTTATATACAAACAACAAGGTTGTCAGTTTCATAATACCAAAAGCTTTTCACCCATTTTCATCAGTGGTTACATGGGAATGAGCAAGAACGAAAACGAAGCCAGAATTTATACTGGGGGTAGAGAATCAGCAAGAATATTCTTACGCGCCTCAAGTTCACACTACACTACCATAAGAATGTATGGAGCAGTGGAAAAATGCGGGAAACAACACATGAGGGGAATGCAGTACCACAACAAACACGTGATAAAGTTGTCAGTCCGGTTGCAGCTTGAACAGCCGTAGCACCTTGATGTGCTTCTTTCGTCGACACAGTTCTGGCCTCAAACTGCGAATGTACAGCGCCTCCAGTGTGAATCGGTGCGCGCTGTTTCGGGCTCGTGTGATCACACTGAAGCTGCTGTTGCGTTCCTGTGGGATGCATTCAGGCTGCGCCTGCAAATGCTTTGTGATGGCGCTATCACTTGTTGCCACACGTTTGTCAGGCGGCTTCTTGTACAGCTTGTCTGGGATATGCTGCTTGATCCTTTCCGAGAATCGCTGACATGTCTCACCAACGTTGGTGAGACATGTTGGTGAGACATTTTTCCACTGCTCCATACATTCTTATGGTAGTGTAGTGTGAACTTGAGGCGCGTAAGAATATTCTTGCTGATTCTCTACCCCCAGTATAAATTCTGGCTTCGTTTTCGTTCTTGCTCATTCCCATGTAACCACTGATGAAAATGGGTGAAAAGCTTTTGGTATTATGAAACTGACAACCTTACAACAAGGTTGTAAGTTTCATAACACTAAAATCTTTTCACCCATTTTCATCAGTAGGTACATGGGAATGAGCAAGAACGAAAACGAAGCCAGAATTTATACTGGGGGTAGAGAATCAGCAAGAATATTCTTACGCGCCTCAAGTTCACACTACACTACCATAAGAATGTATGGAGCAGTGGAAAAATGCGGGAAACAACACATGAAGGGAATGCAGTACCAGAACAAACACGTGATAAAGTTCTTGCTGATTCTCTACCCCCAGTATAAATTCTGGCTTCGTTTTCGTTCTTGCTCATTCCCATGTACCTACTGATGAAAATGGGTGAAAAGCTTTTAGTGTTATGAAACTTACAACCTTGTTGTTGTGTGTATATAAATTTTGTTCGCCTACCTCTCTATTTATATATGAGCCAGGGACTATAGAAACCGCCCTACGACGTTTGATATCAAAATCAAGTTATGACGTTTCAAAGTCACGCGACTCAAAGTAACATTAGTTACGCGAAGCGCAGAACTCGTCACTTTTGTTTTGACAAGACTCCAGAGCTGTCCTCTTGTTAGATGTTCGGGGAAGGATTCCGAGCTCGAGCGATTGTCGAGTAACTCATGAGGCTCTACTTACTGTGATTGATTATGGCTACAACATCTAGTAGACGACGCAGCTCGATTCTGTGTGGAGTCGACTATTCTCTGATGCGAAGGCGCTTGAATCGGACGACGAGAATTTTTACGGATTCAGCGCTGGAACCCGCGAGTCGTCCGCGAGCGATTCCGACACTGATGCTGACAGCGACGGCGATGATATGCCACCTAAGAAGAAGACGCATGCGGCATGGAGTCACAGCAAGCTCGAGACGAGTGCTGCTAGTGTTGTGTCGAAAACGCCAAGCCCCGACAGCTCGGAAATTTCAAACGCGGAGAGTGACACCGACTACTCGTACTCGGAATTGGATGACGAACCAGATGCCCCCGCACCTGAGCCACCGACGACGGAGCAGGTGAAGCGTGGTCTCCTGTCTTCAGATATACGCGAAGAGAGGCTGCGGATGCAAGTCGAAGAATCATTGGAAAGTCATCCCAGAGCAGCAGCTCGAGGACTACATATTTGAAGTCTCTAAACTGCGAGAATCGAAAAAGCGCTTCAAGTAGTTCGTTCTGGGCGCACTGACTGGAAGCATGCGAAAGTCGATGACTGGTGGTGGTGATCGACCTTTCTATTTCCGCTACCATGTACATGTACGTGGTTACGAGCTGTGCAAAGACGTGTTCATGGCAGTTCATGCTGTTGGAAGTCATGTAATGAAGCGCCTTCAAAAAGGCAAACAAAGGAGTCATTCAACTGGCACACCATGGCTTGACTGGGAGAACACCAGAGCACTTGGCCATTTCAGCAGACATAGAGCAGGATGTAGTGCAGTTTATTTAGTCATATGCTAACATGTACGGTCTACCTCAACCCGGAGCGAGGTCGTGCTGAGAACCCTCCAGTATACTTACCAGCATCCGAGAACAAGAAGTCTGCATACAACATCTAAACCAAGCCGTCACACAGTATTCGCCTGTTCATTACAGGTCATTTTGCCACATTTGGAGGAGACAGGCAGCACACATCAAAGTGATGAAGCCAAGGACGTATGCGCACTGTGTGATAATCTGCGAGACAAAATTCGTGTCGCCCGTACAGAGGAAGAGACGGAATGTAGTGTGAATGTAGGGTCCAGGCCCTGCGTTCGCACATATCACTACCACAAGAGGAGCGGCAGTACTACCGAGATTTAGTGGACGGCGCGCAGGCGTCACTGGATGAAGCTGAGGGCATAGTTCACTATACATTTGAACTGCCTAACTAGCAAGAATGAAGATATACAAAGAACATTACAAAACTGTGTGCATAAATTTGCTCTATATCGCTTAATTGATATGCCATTATTAAATAGGTGATTAGGCACATTTTACGACCGCAGATCAACTCGAAATTTTGTTTGAGCACATTACCATACCATACCAACATTTTGAGAGAGAAAAAATATTTTCGCCAAAAAGTGCCATAGGGTGGTTTCTGTAGTCCCTGGCTCATATATATATATATATATACACTGCACGATCAGGTCCTCACCAGAGATACATCATCGTTCTTTGCAACTCTGAGTTTCATGAAATGAATCAATCATCAGGCAATAGAAACAAACTGATACAGGGCAACTAGATCACTACAGGTTATATACCCAGTCACACAGCAAGCGCGAAAGAAGGCACTAAGTTAGGGGTGAGAATATTCCGTGCTAAAAAAGCAGGCTTTAGGTGGCAATGTTTAGGGCTCTGTACTTGTACTGTGTGCATGTGTTGGATATGGTGTTGGGTATGGTGTATGAATTGGCAGAGTGTGCAGGCTGTTCACGCGATGCTCATACGTAGGCAGGGCGTTGCATTTGGCGTATTGGTCATTCTAGGTGACTCCTTGGAAGTTCACGAGTCGGAACTTGTTTGCGTGCCTGCACTTTGCGACGACTTCGCTCCTCTTGTTCAGTGCCAGGGTCTTATCAGCAATTAGGATTCTGGCCTTTTCAGTTGTGCAGAGTTTGCATCTTTTTGTTGCAGGGTTGTAGGAGCTGGTCCAGAGGCTTTCATCACTCTTAAAGATCACAAAGACCGATTCAAGAACGACCTGCCCTGCCGACTCATTAACCCGGCAAAATCGGAACTGGGTGTCATTAGCAAAGCGATTCTCGACCGCATGGTGAGCGCTGTACGTGTGG